TATTTTGTTCTCCAATGTGATTCAACATTATCACATTCAAAAGCTCTCTATATTAGAGGTAATTTAAACTTTAGATATTAAAATAAGAAAATAGGTTTTTTACTCTGGCTACTGAAAACATAATAATGTCCAGCTCACTTTCTTAACATGGTAAAAAAACTAGTACCAAACTTGAGGTGTATGCAACCTGTATTCCCAAGGCCATTCCAACCCCTAAATAAATATCTATAACTAAAAGGAAAAACACAAAAAGGAATATTCGACTTAATTTGACATTAGCAGCCACAAAGAACCAGGTCAAATACAGTGAACAAAATTAATGCAGTAAATATTTACTATGTGTCAGGTGCTATTTAGGTACTGGGGACACAGCATAAACAAAAAGAGTAAAGTCTCTGTCCTCAGGGAACTTACGTTTGACTTAGGGAGACAGACTATAAAGTATGAAAACAAATAGAGGTCAGGTGATTAAAAGAGAAAATAGGCATTGTGGTAAGTTATGTCCAGGAAGGCCCCTAAGGGGGCAGACTGGAAAACTCTTAGATCCTGCGGAGTGCAGGCATAGATAAAGGAAGACTGTCGAAGATACAGGGACACCCAGGCACAAGGCCTGTTGCTCCATCTCAATAGTAGTTTGTTTCTGTTTGTTGAATGGGTGGGTGTCGGCGGGTGAGGCAGAGCCCACAGTGCTATATTCTTTCCTGGTGAATGTCTCACTCCAAGTGGGCTGTGGAGACCACCAAATCCCAGAGAAAACTTTATGAGAAAACAGGGGAGGCTGTGGGAAAGTGTCTCCAGTCATTATTTGTTTATTCTTTGCATTGTTTATTAGCCGTTTCAGGAATCTTGAGCCAAGTTCTAGTTATCATTTTTGATCATCTCAATCTTGAAGCAGTCATCATGGTCTGGCCAGGGTAGGGCATAGTGAAAATACGATATGAAGTCTCTGAGGTAGGATTACCCTCAATGTGTTCAGAGGAAGATGAGGCAGCTATGTGACTGGAAAGGAGTGAGAACGGGTGAGAGTGGTAGATGATGGTGTAAGGTGAGGTTCTCGGAGGCCATATTACTCACGGCCATGGTGTCAGTCCATCATAAGAACTGTGGCTTTTATTTTGAATAAAAATGTTGAGATTTGAGCAGAGGAGTGACATGATGTCACTGAGATTTAGAAATAATCGCTCTAGCTTCTCTGTTTAGAATAGGCTCTAGGAGCAGGAAGATGAGTTGGATAACAAGATGATAGTGCCTTTCATTAGTATGTTAGTGATAGAGAGAGTGAGAAGGGGCTGGATTCCTGATAATATGCATTTTGAAGGTAGTGTGCACCAGATTTGCTGATAGATTAGATGTGAGGTTTATGAAAAAGAGGAATCAAGATGACTCTACACTTTCGGCCTGAGAAACTGGAGAGAAAGAGCTGAATTAAGGAACCATGGGAGGACCGTGTTTGAGGAGGAAAACCAAGTTTGGCTTTGAATATGTTAAATCTGATCTCCCTGTGGGACAAGGAAAATGGGGATTTGAAAAGAGCAACCTATACCTTACAGGGAATTTAAATGAGAAGGCATCCAAATTGCAGAAGTTTATTTGAAGGAACAGGTTACATATTTTGCTTGGTCTCAAATTCTAAAATAGTGGGAAACTAAAATTCATAAGTTGTTTTTAGTGTTTAAGTTACGACTACAAATCTAATCAAACTGGGACCACTCTATTTTCATGTACTTATTATTAATAGTTTACCCACTCTTCCCCATAAAGATGTGAGGTTTACAATGCTCTCACAATTAAGTCATTAAACAAAGTTTTAAAAATGAGCTGTCTACCAAAAGAAAAAAAATAACTATACACGAATGTTCGTAGCAACTTTATTCATAATAGCCAAATATTGGAAACAACCAAAGTATCTATATGCAGCAGAAATGGTAAACAAATTGTGATGTTTTTAAAAAAGTGAAATACTCCTCAGCAATCGCAAAGAAAGAACTATTGATTCGTGCAATAACATGGAATAATGTCAGGTATGTTGAGAGAAAAAGCCAGATCAAAGATTACATACTGTATGATTCCATTCATATAAAGTTCAAGAACAGCCGAAAACCAATCTCTGGTCATAGAAACCAGAAAGTAGTTGCAACAGAGGGAGGTGTTGATTGGAAAAAGGCACAAGGCACAAGGTAATGAAAATGTTCCAATGATTTTTAACACAGATATATAGTTATCAAAATTCATTGAACACTTATGTGCATTTTATTGCAGGTAAATGCTATCTAAAATGCACAACAAAACATGAGCCAACTACTGAAAGGATTATATACAAAAACAAAAAACAAAAAAACCAACAAAGTCAACTAAAAGTAATTAGTTGAGCACAAAGTTTAGCTCCAAGTTTCCCAGCAACCATGGCAAAAGGGAAAAAAATTATTTAGCTCTATATCTAATATCAGCATGTATCAGAAGAGGAAAATTTATTTCTAACTCTAAATTTAAGAATATTTAGCTAAGAAATGCAAGATATTATGTAACATCTTCACTAGCACTTTTATAAAAGTTGAAGGCTCATTTTTATTTCTATCACTCCTCAATAATAGTCAAGAGAATAATTTTAAGTCAGCTTCTATGAAAGCCTGTCTATGGAGAGCTAAAGGCAGGCATTCAAGGTAGAGGAGCTTTCTGGAGTGTCAACTAATTGCAGAAGAGTAGGAGTCTCAGATTTCACAAGCTCACCTCCCTTGGATGCCTCAGCGGGGTTTGTGCCAGGAGTTCGAAATCAGATAATTAGGGGTTAATTAAAGTGCAACGTTCTTTGGAGTTCATTAAACTAGATATCTGGGGTTTAGCTACTAAACTTGTATTTGACTAATTATCTTTTGTTGTAAGAAACATTCTAAGAAACTGCCATATTCATGCCCAAACAGAAAACCATGCCCGATTCTATTTAGTTGGGGGCTTAATGGCTACCTTGATCCCTGGCGTTCTGGAAACTCAGCTCTGAATCTCCTTCCATGCTTCGCAGCAGGGGTATAACTGACAAACTAGGCAGGGCAATACTTGTTTGTGCAGGACTCTCTACTTTTAAGACATTTGCATCCTTGGCCCCCACCCACTACATACAGATAACATCCCCAGTTCTCGTGACAACCAAATATTCCCCTACATTTTAAAACTTACTACTGCCCCTTTGATAATCACTCGCCTTAGAAGAATATTGCTATCCTTCTGAATGTGGATGAGCATCTGGCCCCAAATTCCACTCTGTAAAGCATGCAAGAAGACATCATCTTGGTTTGAAACTTTTGGAGATAAATATTTTCAGTCATCCATGTCTGTCATATAAAAATCTTAATATGATGCCCACAGAACATTTTATTTAAAATAAGGCAATGTCTGCACAATGAGTCTGCCAGGGTGAAAAAGCCTCCAAGTAAAACTCTCCCCAGATAAATGAGTTGACCACAAAATGTTTATTTAACCAATGTTAATTGTCCATTCAAATGCTGAAGACTGTCTGCCAAGACAATCTTAAGGAAGTCGATATTGAACTGCTTTTTTTCTAGCTATGATTGACCAAGAAGTTAATGTTAAGACCTATTATGTACCAAGTAGAGAGGGCAGAGCGGTGAGTCAGCTTTACTAATAGTCAAGTGCAGGGGTCCCCAACCCACAGGTCGTGGACCGGTACCGATCTGTGGCCTGTTAGGAGACGGGCCGCACAGCAGGTGAGTGGCAGGCTGACAAGCGAAGCTTCATTAGATTCTCATTGGAACACCAGTCCCTGGTGCCAAACAAGGTTAGGGACTGCTGGTATAGTGGACAGTTTCCAGGAAACAGATAATAAAGAAAGAGAGCTATGGTGGCCTCTCTGGGGAAACTCTTAGTCTGAGATCTAGAAGATGAGTAGGAGTTTACCACAAGTTTAGTCTATGCAAATCAGGGGAGGGCAGGGAGAAAGAAAACTGTTTCAGCAGGGCCACCAGCTTATATGAAGGCCCGAATAGAAAAAAGAGGTTAGGGTCAAAACAGAAAAGTGGTGAGAGAAGTCTAGTGAGCAAATCCTTTTAGGGCTCATAAGGAGTTTGGGTTTTTTCCTAAGTGCAGCAGAACGTCACCATAGAACGTTAGAAAAGAAAGACGTGATACGATTTCTATTTAAGAGAGTGAGTAGATTTGAGGAGAAAGCCGGCATAGATTTTGGAATAGACAACTAAACAACTGGTTGGGAAATGTTCCATTATCCAGAACAGAGACAAGGGTGGTACAGAGAGGAATGATTCAGTCACTCAATAAATAATTAGGAGCTCCAGGTAGGTGCCAGACACGCTATTAAGCATATTGAGGAATCTAGTGGGGGAAATACACTAATCAAACAAGCAATAATGACAAAATGTGAAATTTTAATCATATTCAATACCACAAAGGAGAAATGTATAATGCGATCAAATCACAAAACAGAAGAAATTTTCCCAATGCTTCAGGAAAGGCTTCCCTTGAGGAAGGGACATCTGAACTATATTCTGACTAAAAGCTATCCAAAAAGGCACAATGGGGAGTGAGTGGAATCATTTTCGAGGGAAGGACAGCAGGTACTGTGAAACTCTACAGGGTGGCAGGGTACAAAGAGCAAAGGACGGTGTGATTAAGATGAGGCTGGAGAGGTGGGTTGGGACTGTACAATATAGCATTAAGCATTTTGGTCTGTATCCTAAGAGCCAGGGGAAGCCCTGAAAGTGTTTTAAGCAGGTGGTGTGATGAAGCAAACATCAAATTCATGTTTTGAAAGATTGCTGCAGCTGCCAAGTGTGAAGAACAGATTGTAGGGGTGAGAAGTGCTGCGGTGAACTGGGTTAAACCGTGGTTACAAAGACCAAGACGTTGGGAGGTGGGGGACTTGGCGACTGTGCAGAGTATGGGACTTCTGGCTTGGTCTTCTTAAACACGCTCCTAGTTCATGACAGGTAAGGACCACATCACCTGACCAGAGGAAGGCATTTATCTTTTTATTCATAGGGTAAGAACCAGATCACCTAAAAATTACGTTACACATTACGTGGTTAACAACGATCTCTGGGGAATGGGACTGAAGGCGAAGATGCTAGAAAGAGGGGGGCCACTCAATTTTTACCATCAACATGTCTATATTATTTTTACAATAAAAACATGAATATAAGTTTAAGAAATGAATATAGAAATCTCATCGAATTATTTACAAATGTATGCAGGAGACAGCTAGGACTATCTTGTTTCACGATACTTAGGAATGGATTTTGAGCTATCAAGGGCCCCCACACACTCATTCTGCTTCTCAGGACTAATCTGCAATAGAAGGCTGGATGAATTAAGAGTTGGATCTACAGAAAATACTTCAAAAAATCTTGTATTGTGATTATATTTTCTCGGTAGGACAAAACCTAACAATGATCAATATAGTAAGAGAGCTGAGACTAAACTATGCTTCTTCTTCATGTAATACATTAGTGAGAAAGACCCAGAGAGAAGCAATTTAGCACTGACTTTGGAAGAGACAGTCAACAAATCGATGGAGATAAGGGGTTGTCCTTTTAATAAACAGAAACGCATGAAGTCCTTATCTAGAAAACGAAGCCTCAGAGTTAAACATGCAAGGAGTGGTGTCCAACGCTCAGTAGGATTTCTATAATTCTGGGCAACAAATTCTTCTCTAGGCAGGAGTATTTAGTACATTTAAATGTGCATTTAGCAGCATCTTATCGATTCAGCCAACTTTAACTCATAACCACACTGAAATGTGGAATCTGGATTTTTTCATCTAAATAATCCATTTGCTTTTCATTTACATTATTAAGCTGCCTTTGAGTTTCTTTACATTCTATACTCCCACTTCTGCTATTTGAGATAAATACCATTTAAAACACTAAGTTTTTTGTTTTGTGTTTGGGTTTTGTTTGTTTGTATCCCACTTACTAACATTGGTATGGAGACTCTACAAGGGATACAGGAAAAGCAGAAATGAAAATATTTGCATTAAAAAATAAGATAAAAAAGCAGAAATGAAAATATTTGCATTAAAAAATAAGATCAATAAGAGATAGCAGCGACAGGGTTCACAAAAAAGCATTGCCAACTATACAGAGCTGTACAAAGCACTTTCACATCATTTTATTTCCTTTTCTGCCACCTTTTGAGACAGATTCTTACTCATGTCACAGATGACATGATCAGAGTCCTAACAACTTTCCAAGATTTTAATTTTCTGATTTCTGTGTTCTTCTCTTAATCAGTGCAACAGAGATGGAATGTTGGTGGAGAGGAGCTGCATTAGAGCTGTCTCATGTAAGTACACACATAGACCAGACGGAATCTCATACGGAACTCAAGGACAGGGAAGTATAGCTTAGTCTCCCTTCAACCCGCCAGGAAACTGAGCAGTCCTTTCTGCCAGCCTGATTCTCTTTGTCTTCTTTTCATTCATATCCTCCTCCCTCTAGCTTTTCCAAGTCTATGGCCACACCAAGACTGCATTCTTAGGCATGGCACATGAGTTCAAGGGGTATACTCCAGAATTTCAATTGGAGTTCTAAAATTCCTGGGAGACATGTGACTGACAAAGCTTGGGGGAGAGAGGCACTTCTATTTGATTGATTGCAAATAAGTGACATTGTCTTAATAGTGATGAAACAAAGTAAAATTGTGGGTACCACATTAGACCAATCTGGTCAAATCAATGAGAGTAAATGTTTTGAATAAGTGTCAAGTGTTTTATAAGATGATTATACAAAAATCTTTAAAAATGCTAATGAGCCATTATTTTGTAGGAAAAGTATAAGCATTTTCAATTTAAGTAGTCAGTTTAATTACTGGCATCGATAAATTTAAAGCCTAATAAATAATTCAAGGATGCTTGAAAAAGATGTTCATGCTGGCCAAATAGTTAGAAAAATGACCCAAATGGCTGGCATACAGGTAATGAGCACATCCTAAATCTACACAGGCAGGTAAGTAGTTGGATTAGGAGGATAAAATTCCAGCTGAAGGTGTCAAAGAGCAGATTGAAAAACTTGTTTCGTGATTTAAGGGCTCCAGAAGAAGACCTGTGGATCCTAACAAGGATTTCAACAACAACAAATCAAACACCAATATTTCGAGAGAGACAAAAGGCAGAAAAAGAGTGAAAGACAAAACTGTTAACAGAATAAGGCAACAAATAGAAAACAGTAGTGAATATGGTGGACATGAATCCAACTATATAAATAATCACTTCAAATGTCAATGGTGTAAATGCAAAAATTGAAAGACAGAGATTATCAGAGTGACTTAAGAAACACAACCCAATTAACATGTTGTCTATAAGAAACCCACTTGAAATATAAACACACACAGAAAAAAAAAATGTACACCAAAAAAAAACAAAAACAAACACCCAAAAAAACAAAACAGCGAGCTGTTGCTAGGGAACATACAACTTCTTTTTTTCCTTGTCCTTTTATATATTTTCCAAATCTACCATGAGCATGTTGCTATTGGAGTAAGATAACACAATTTATTAAACACACATACTCAAAATTTTATGATTCTTTTTGGGGTGATGGACTTATCTTTATTTTCTAGTTATTTTTTCATTCATTCATTAGTAATGTCTACTTGTGGCAAAGAGAATGCTATGTGTTCAGCAAATCATTTGGGTTCTCTTTCTGGACACATTTGACAATTATGTGTCCCCATCTTCCTTACCATTGGCCAGGAGTTGTTTGACTGAGCACTGGCCAATGGAAATGTGGAGAAGTGATGTACGCCTGTTAGCTTGGCCATAAACCCTCTGTAGGATTTACCATTCTAGTTCATATCCTTCCATGTCAAGTTTGGAGATTCAAAGCTGGCACGGTCACAAGATGGAGAAGTCTGGGTCCCTGGGAGCATGGAGCCTGCCATACTGGAACACGATGAAAGCAGACAAAAAACTCCTACTGTCTGCAGCCATTGAGATGTTGTGATTGTTACAGCAGTTCATCTAACTAATACAGCATTACTATTATCCCTGGGAAACAGAAACTAAAATGCTCCTTCCAAAATACAAACCTTCAATAGTGGCCCATGATCCATTGAAAGAATCCTCAACATGGCATGCAAGGTCCTCCATGACCTGGTTCTGTGTACTTTACACTCTAAAAATCTCATTGTCCCTCCTAAACACTCCCCAAACTTCTGGACCCGTTCTTCTCTGTTACAGTACTGACCACAACTGCATTGTGATTAGTTGGCTACTTGTCAGCCCATCTCACTAGACTGTGAGTCTCCACCAAGGCAGCAATTGTCTTTCCTAACAGATATATCTGCAACGCTTAATATTTCATGTGCTGAGCATATAAGGGATGCTCAGTAAGTATTTGCTGAATGAATGAATGTGCTCCACTATGTGCATAGCCCCCTAAAAAACCATGAAATTTAGAGCCTGGAAGGTAGAGAAAAGCAATTTTATCAGAACATAGTCTCTTCTACAATAAATTCTCAACTCTATGATATTACTGAAATAAAACAAAGAGCCAGGAATCAAATAACATCCTTTTGGACTAGAGTTGGCTTCTAGACCAAACCCTTTGTAAGTCTGTGAAGCTTTAAAATTTCTGACTTCCTAAGTTCAGAATTGATTTTTTTTTTTTTTTGGTCTTGGAAATTTATAACAAAATTACTCTTAGGTAGTTAAAATGGCGGTGGATTCTGAATTATTTCATATAGGAGGCAACCTTAGAAATATAAGAATCACCACCATAACTCAAAATATTCCATTTGTGAGGAGGTGGTCTCAGAAAAGCATTATATTTTCTGCTACTTGGAAACTTTAGGTTTAATAATAGCTCTTCCATTAAAACAAAAGCATTATATTACAATATATTGAAACACCATCTTTCAAGGCTGAGTCTTAGATATTACTTTAATAGTATCTACGAAGAATATAGTTATTTAAAAAGCTTATTTAAAAAAGAAAATCTATGCTTTTACCCATTACATATAGTAGAATGGATTTTAAAAAATAGTTTCTTCCTTTATATGGATTATATCTTAAGATATGAAGAACCCAATTACGCTTTGGTTTTATCACATGGGAAAAACAACACACAGGCCTTTAGTCAAACAACTTTGTGATATTTATATTCCATTGCACAGATATGGGTTATACAAATTAGTAACATGAGTTATTTCTTAAATTCCAAACATTTTCTAAAATAGTATTACAGCAGATGCCTAGGATATTAAAACACTGAGGTGGAAACCATACTCTAAATAGTTAAAAATGATACTGAAAATACTGCACATTTTAATTAGAGGAAAATTAAAATGTGTGCTCGGATGCTCTAAATAACTAAGTAGCAGGGCAACTAACAACTACAAATAAGTCACTGTGGTCCATTTTTATGTATGCATATATATATGATTATTCTTTAGATAACCATTCCTCTTGGAAATGCATAATTAAAACATAAAAATCTCTACATCTAAGATCTATGGTGAAGTGTACTATTATCTATGACTTTATACAACTACTAATTCAAAGATAAAAGACACCACACTTGGAAAGAAGAAAAGATTTTTAAAAGGAAATGGTTTTTAATTGAATTAATGAGATGAAAAGATAGTGAAGCCCTGTTTGCTACTTACATGAAAGAAGATTTTTAAAAATAATCACTGCACAAAATATAAAGGGTGGGATTATGCTGTGATAGTAAATTTTTCTCCATGTTTTCCTTGACTGTTCAAGAACAAATTAAAGTTTCCACGGCAAATTTGTTCTCAAAATGCCGAATTGTAACACAATTGCTGACTTCACGTTTCTGAATACCTGTTTGGGAGGAAAAGGTTTTTAAATTTTTGGTTCTTTAGCAATAAATATTCACATTAATCCTCAGTTATAATTTAAAAATATGGAAATGTTTTACTCTATATTCCATGAACTTCTATAGTTTGACTTTTTTAACATTGGAGAAAATAATTTTCTTCTCTTTTCCAAACTAAGTATCTTAATGGATCTTAGTGACAATAACAATGCCATAAGTACAGACCTAGGACCTTAAAGACATTAGGTATATTCTGTATCTTCACTGTGGTGATTTTTTGACACTCAGAGCTGCATGCTAAAAAAAGTGAATTTCATTTATATTAAGTCTGACTTTTAAAAAAATTATGAACCATTACGATAGTTTAAAAATGTAAGAAATCAAGCAGAGGGTTTCCAGTGACTCATCAGCCCAAAGTGAGAGAACAGTATTATTAAAAGTGCTAACCAAAGCCAGGAAAGCACTTTTACTGGGTTCCGTAATTCCAAAGAAATCATACCATAGTGTATTTGAAGGGCACTTCTTATTTTCCTACAGCTCTGTAACATGTACTTTCATTTTATTTTTGTAATGATCTTGAAAGGAAACAGGGAGATACATACTATCATCCTTACTTTTCAGGTGAGAAAACAAAGGTTAAGTGATTTGGCAAAGCTATATTAGTTGTGTCAATGCTCTTAATTCCTCAGCCAAATTCTTTTGTAATTAACCTGACTATGCTTATCTTCAATGTGATCCAAAAGGCAAACAATCTGCTTAGAATCCAGATCCTTGAGCATACACCTGGAGAGCTTCTCTAGAGACCCTCTGCATAAGAACTCCTGCAAATGGCTGCACCAAAGTGAGAGGGTGGAAAGGTGTACTGGGTGACTGCATGGCAAGTAAGCTAAACAGCATCCCAAGGCAATGACATTTCACGTTCACCCATTCTCTCTAACTGAAAGAAGTAGATTTAGAATTAAGATGATTCTCCAGACATCTAGAAATATTATATACTGACACGACATAGTTTTATTTTCTCACTCATGACAACAACTAGCCTTTATCTAAATCTAGTTTAACAAAATAAAGTGAAACAACAAACTTTTCTCCTGCACCTTAATGTTAAAAGTATTACCTTTGATCGTTTCTCTGCGTTGCAGCTTGTAAGTTTCCTTGTCATGGCACAGTCGATAAATAAAGAAACCCAGCTGATCGATGTTTTCAATGCGATCAGTGATAACCATGTGTTCATGAATCAGATATGACTGAGGCAAATAGGTTCCAGCCTATATTTGGAAAAGAATATTACATGAATATCTCAAAACATACACTGAACAGATAAAGAAAAGAGACAAAATTCTTAAGAGATTATAGTTGGAACAGAGGTTGGCAAATTACTGTTCACCATCTGCTTTTATAAATAAAGTTTTATTGGATAACAGTCATGCCCATTTGTTTACATATTGTCTGTGGTATCAGAACTGAATAGTTGTAACATATATCTTATTTTTTGAAAGCCTA